TACCTTCTGTTTATAAACATCTGCTTGGAAATTTTCTTTCTGAATTTTTTAAAATATATTTTACATTTTTGCATTAGGCATATGGGTAAGATATACAGTAGCTGCTAGTTTGGTTTTTTTTCAGGTGTTCAGGTATATAGCACAGATATATTTGAATGGGGGGGAGACTAGATTACTTCAAAATAAAAAAAAATAAGATGAAAATCCGTATTGGAATTAATTTTTAACCAATTTGAATATATATATCTGTAGTATTGTTAAGAGTAACTGGACAAATGTGTAGAAAAGTGACATCAGTGTTCATGGTTTCAGGGCTACAGGACGATTCAAAGACCTCTTCTGTCCTTTAGAGGTGGTTGCTATTCCCAAAAATAACTGGCATGCTTGTTATCTTAATAGTCTCTTCATTTTGGCTCCTTTTATCCCATTTGTTTTTCACCATCTAAAAAAAGCATTTATACCTAGGGCATGCGCTGATTCTGCTGGTATATATTTTCAGTGAAAACTGGTTGGTATTCAGTCATCCTTTTTTTCCTGCTATTTTTGTCACAGTTGCAACACTGGTATTGACTGTCTCATTTTATTTTTTTTATTACTAGTGTTATACAAAGATTGAAAGCTCATTAACGTATGTGCATAGCCTACAGTAGTAATGCATATACTTTACCCTCGTTAACAGTTATTCAGAAGGGACAAGATAGTTGTATATAGAAGGCATTTAAAAAGAACTGGCAATTAATATATACTGTTTGGAAGCTTACAGAAAAAATGAATTAAATAATAGAGTACATTTAGTCAGTTTATTAGCGGATGATACATTTTTTTCCTTAAATACTTCTGTTGTACATGAATTGGAATGTGGTGCTGAATAAAATGTGTGTACTTAGACGCTAAATGAAAATTTCTGGGATTTTAGTGCTGTCGGATTTTAATAAATAGGAGACTTTGGACTTCATTCTCATTTATGCTTAAGATGCTTCGAATGCTCTTTCTAATGTCAGAGCAGTGTGATGTGACCTTACTGTAAATGAGACTCAGGCTTCTTGTGCCTATGGTTGACTATATGCGGTCACTTTCTGGGTCAGTAAAAAATGCTTTGTAAACTTTTTTGGTGTACAATTTGATCTTGTTTTACGGATTGTAGATCTTAAAATGCCGGTAGACTTCAAACCTAAAAAGATGTGAATGTGGTTGGAATCAGGATTTGTGTCTGTTGTCTTAGTCACTACCAAAATAGTGCAAGTCCAGGAATGTACTAGGTTTCCAAGCAGACTCTGTCTTAGCCTTTATGTACATACCTCTGGTCTTTTTGCACAAGTATTTTTCATGCCTAAATTATTTTATGTAAAGAAATACACAAAACCCCCTTAGTTTGGTCTGCAAATCAGGTAGGTAGATGTTGGAATACCTGACTTGCACGGTCAAATATGAATTACTTGTATATGTCTGAAGTTTTAAAAATATACATTCAAATTCAAACGTATACATTGAAAATTGTAAGCGTATGTGTGAAGCCTGATCTTACAAACCCCTACTCATGAAATAAGTCTTCCCTAATGTAAATATTTCCATTCAAAAATGTATTCGTTGATGAAAATGTGTACTGAAATATTTTTGCTGAAGTAGACACCCAATTAGACATGAACAAAGGAAATAATTTACAAGTTTGGCTTGTGTTTTTCTGAACCAAACTATTGGAAATGTATAAAATGTCTATGCAAGTGTTGTCCTAAATTTGTAATACTTAGTCCTTCAAAATTTGCTTGGTGCCTTGCGTTCCATTTCTTTCCTTATGCCTTGTGCTTTATCTCTTGTAAGTACTCTTGCTCACCTTGAGCTCTTCTAAAATTACTGAGACTTAAGGAAATGATGCCTTTAAAAATATCTATAGCTGCATTGATTTTCCTGAAAAATGAAGTACTTTTTTCCCCCTTGTAACAAGAGAAGGTGAAAGAACCAGACTTTAATCCTATTGGCAAGTCTTATGGCGCTGTGTGAAAGCTGCAGTGCATTTTTTAACCTCTGGACGTCACTGCTATGCCAATTAATTGTACTGCAGTAATTGTTCACGAAGGGCATTCACCCCATTTCAAAATCATTTGTTTACATCGAGCAATTACAGAAGTTATGTTTTTAATTTGACAAATCATAACAGTAGTATTATTGCTGTTCCATTTTTGTGCTTTCCATTAAAGAAAAGAAGGCATCTTGTTTTGCTTATCACTTGTATAGCCCTTGGACTAAGGCTGTCTTTAATTACTAGGTATTGTTGTTTTAATACAGATTTATGAACTATTTACTTTGCGTCATATAACATACCATTTTGAAGCAACATTTTTCAATCTGATCATAGCTTCCAGGAGGGCAAGCTGCCCAGAACATCAGTGATCTTACAGTTATTACTTTGTGTCATATATAATCTTGTTTTTTCCTGCAACAAATAAATCTTTGGGCCTCTCTGCAAAAAACATTTGTGGTTACAGTATAATAAAAATAAACCGTTTGTCGTGACTACAGCTGACATTTATCAGCCTATTTGTGGGTGCTCTTTCTCTCTCTGTATAATACAGAACATAATTTGTCACTTTGTAAATACATTCCAGCCTAAATCCCTGCCAGCATCTGTTAGTGTTTGAAGGATTAATACACTGCACAGTGCATGTCTGCACTTTCAAGCAACAACATAGCTTATGATTATGGATCATGGGAGAGCAGGGAAAAGGGGTGCCTCTTTTGTGTATTTGCTTAGACATTTTGTCCTTTTGGCCATTGTGGGTTTCTTGGACTTTCCTTGTCATCTGCATGGGTGGTGTTCACATATTTTGCATGCCTGTAAAGTATAAACTTTGAAATCAATTCTAAGCAAGTTTCATAATATGTCATTGTAGCTGGTTTGTGCTCCAGGGGTGGCTGTGATGCCCCCCTGGTGGCCACACACTTCTTGCCCGGCTCCAAGTCTAGGGTGCCCTGCTCTCCTTTCTCACCTACCACGCCTTTGATGTAATTGTTTTATTAGGAGGGAGGCTGTCTAAGGGTCCTAAAGCGAGCCTAAATGTTGGCTTCATCCTTCCCAATATCCACTCCCATGCCTTGCAGATGATACTCTTTCCTGATGTCTCGTCACCCCTCTTGGGCTTACGGGCTCCGTGGCCCACCTGGTCTCTGACTATATGGGCTCCTAGCCCCAGTCCTCACCCCTCTTGGACTCTGGGCTCCTTAGCACCCTTGATTTCTGGCTGTGTACCTGGACCTTCAGTCTCCCTAGACCCTGGCCCCACTCCTAGGCCAGTTGGGACCCTTAGATTCCCAGGCTCCCCTGATGCTTGCCCCTCCTGGGCTTGAGACCTCTAGGCTCTTTGTCCCGGTTGATACATGCCCCTCTCTGCCCCCTGGGCTCTTTGTGCACTTTCTGCCCCTTGCCCAGGCTTCTTGTTGCAAGGCCTGGCCTGTTCCTGGGCTCAGTGCTACCCCAGCTCAGCAGTTATCTCACGGGCCCTGCTGCGGCCCTGCTGCCAGGAGCTCCTCTCCTTGTGGCACTCAGACTCTTTGACCAGTTCAGGCCCTTGACTTTTATGCTTCAAGCCCTGCCCCCTCATGGTCAGGTGACTTTCTAATTAGCCCCTGCCAGACCTACACGCTGCTTCTTAGGCAGCCTCTCTCCTCTTAAAGTGGCAAGCATGCCAAGCGCCTGTCACAGTCATATAGCCTTATATGTGTGCGTGCATATAGATCTGCTTTTGCTTTTTTGAACAACATTTTTTTATTGTAGTTCAACAGAAATCTCCTGCTATTGAGGATTTTAGATGTTCACATGGGGAGATTTATGTTTCCAACCAAATCTTGTACCCATTTGTTTTCAGGTCAGAGGCAATCTGGCAGACTGAGTTTTCTTATGCTTAGCATCATTTCTGGTTGGATTTTGAGGACAGAACCTGTGCTTAACAGTGAAGTGATTCCATTTCTCAACAGGTTCCTATGGTTCTTCTAGCTAGAGGTCATAAGTTGTCCTGAATTACCTGGTGGCCTTGTAGTGGGGTCTTATGTCTATTAAACTTTTACAGGGTGTGTCAAATGTATTTAATTTGAGGACTTCAGCTTGATCGAAAGTAAACAAAGCTTTCCATATTTTTTGCAAGTTCCCAGGCAAGCTTTCCCATTTTGTAAACAAAGTAGATACATTCGTTAGAGTAATAAACTATATCTATGACATATTGCCATGATTCCGGGAGATTCCCAAAGAGAAACTCAGTAGATCTTGTATAACTTCAGGAGGAAAAATGCTAGCCAAACAGTAAACAGCAACGGCTCATGGTTCCTGCCTAAACCTTTGGCAGTACTTTTATGAAATGCTTCTAATTTGTAGGTATTGAGACCGATTCCTACCTCAGGCCCAAAGCAGAGGTCAGAATCCTCTGGAGAGAGCAAATTCCAGTACCCAGAAATTATGGTCCCATTTTTGCCCAGCGTGCCGCCCTCTCCACTTGTATTTAAGGACAACAAAAAATAAAAGGCAATTTATGGTAGTGATTGTTGTCCTCGGTTTTTTTAAAAGTATAAGGTAGGTAGTTTGCTGTTAAAAAGAAACTTGTTCCATCAAAAAGGAATATATTCAGTCAAAAATGAATATTTTCCTCTCTCATTTGATTTAAATGAATATAGTATAGCAACAATTACAAAAAATAGCAGCAAGTTATAAAATTGCCTTGCTTTAAGTGCCATAAAAATGACATTGTACTTGGTAACAGAAACCATGCATGATGATTTGGAAAAATGATGGCTTCAGTAGGCCACAAATTGGGTGATCATATGGAAATTAATGAATGTATAGTGCATACTTTCACACATGTGCAAAGTATGACCACATTTGCACAGTTAAGTTGAAAACACCAGCACATGAATTACAATTGTAATCTGGGTAGCCTGGGGACTTTGCGTCAGTGGTAGTCCAAAGGTACTTAAAATGTGCCTACAGGCTTCACTTACTTTCTAATCACATGGTGTGGGCTCAGATGATGTAGGCTTAGGCTCACATGGTGTGGGCTCAGGCTTAATTGCTGGTAAACTCCAGCCTGGGAAAGAAAACAAAAGGTTTATTAAAGAAATCATGTCTTACTGTAGTATGGACTAAATTATCTCACCGTCCTAAACCATTCTGATAGTAGGAATTGAAGTATTACATACAAGGCTTTCTATATGGGTCATTCCCCTCCGTCATCTCTAGCATGTACACAAGTTAACCCGTTATTGTTTACATTCAAGCTAATAGTAGAACCTGTTCTTCTTTAACTGAATTTTAATGGGGTAATTTGTCTCTAATCCATCTCTTCATCCCAGAGCTGCC